CACAATCAAACACCCAGGGGCTAGGAAAGACAAGTTCATTCATTTATTCATTCACTTATTAATTTATTTATTCAGTTATTCATTTCCCCCCTGAATATTTACTGAATTCCTACTAGGTTACAGGCACTGTTCTAACCCTAGGGATACAGTAGTGAGCATGGCACCCATGTCTTCATTCAGCTTACATTCTAGTGGGAGACAATAATTAAACTAGTTAACAAACAGATACGTAATGTAATTTCAAGTTATGACAAGGTTATGAAGAAAAACAAAGGAGTTAAAGATGTTGGGGAGTGACTATTTAGATGGGGGCAGTGTCAGTGAGGGCTGCTCTGAGGAGGTGATATCTGGATGAGATAAGAAGTGAGGCCTGCAGAGCTCAGAGGGGAGTGTGACCCAGGCAGTGTTTGGGGCCCTGAGATGCCTTCATGGCTGTTGTAGGAGAGAAGCTCACTCACCCAAGCTCTATTTTGGGGTCCGAGCTGACTCAAGTATTGGGCAACTGGCTTCCTACTTCAAGACTGTTTCTACTGTGAAATGAGGATTTTAATAGCTACCTCTGTTTTACAAGAGTCTCATGGGAATTGGTCAGTGTCTGGCTAGAAAGTATTTTTGAACTGCGTCGAGCACAGCCAGGGGTGAACCTGAGGAGGGGCAGTGAAGGATTAAAGAAGACAGACAAGAGAATACAGTCGGGACCAGGTGGATCACTGCCTGGATGAGGAAACAGTGACCCAGATTGTAAACGGAAGCTTTATTTTATAGTCAGATCACACAAAGCAAAGCAAGGGGAGTGGTCAACATGTTTACAATGTTCTTTCGAGTTTCAAATCTATTTCGTTACTCAAGCCTTGTTTTGGCAGCACTTGCTGCACCTCCCACAGCCCATTAGCTACCTAGGAACAAGGAAGAACTATAAGGTCAAGCTTAATTGTGCTAGGAGGGCTCTGCCCTCCAAGCTGGGACTTGTTTGTGGCCCTGCCACAGGTCAGCCTGAGGCTTGACCCTATAGCCACTCCCTACAATTTTTATTGCACAAAATTTTTATTTATATCCTGTATAAGCTAAGGGAAAATGGTCAGCAACTAACTCAGCTGTGTTCTCAGAGAGCAAAGCTTGGTCTGGTTCACTCAGTGCTGAAACTCAGTTGACCCCTAAAGATAACCTTGAACTCCTGCTGATTTTCTTAGTTTCATGCGCTGTTGAACTCCAGACAAAGAGCCCAGAGTCCTAGGCTCTGGCCCCCATTTTATTGCTGACAACCTGTAATGTCTTGGGCAATTTACTTACTAGTAACTTCTACTTCAGTCTATCACCTACAAAATGGGTGTAATATTCAAAGAAAATAATGTTGTTTGCCCTACGAAGTGCTATATACATAAATGTAAAAGATTACTGTTATTGAGGCAGAGCAACATCGAACAGACTGTCAAACTACAGCGGGAAGGCCGGGGAGGGCTGGAGGGTGGGTGGGTAAGAGATCAACCGAAGGATTTGTATGCATGCATATAAGCATAACCAATGGACATAAGACACTGGGGGGTATGGGAGGCTAGGGGAAGGTCAAGAGGAGAGAAAAAAAAAGGAGACATATATAATACTCTTTGTAATACTTTAAGCAATAAAACAATTAAAAAAAGATTACTGTTGTTAAAGGGGAACTTAGGGTGGCCCACCTTGCCCAGGTTATGCACATTTCATGGGGTCCCAACTTTGCCAAAGTGCTTCCATGGATCTCCTGGGAGAGCGGCAGAGGCCAGAGTTTGGTCCATGAGAAATACATACATTTCTCCTTAGTTTCGCCTTATCTATGTTCAGCCTGATGCTTGTGGCCCAGGAGAGTGTATTTAAGTGGCAGAAAATCAGTGAAAAAGTCTCAGAGGAGAGCAGAGAAATGCTCTTTGGGAGCTAAAGCAGGCAAGAGAGGGACTATCTTATAAGTACCGCGTGCTAACCGATTGCGCCACTGGAGCTCCGAGAGGGACTATCTTTAGGGCACTTCCTTCCTCTCTCTTCCAGGAACATCTAATGAGATTCTATGTGCCTGGCACCAGGCTAATGTTTCTAGACCAGTGTGTGTGCAGCCTGTACCTAACTCTACTCTGGATGGGTGGTGGGCAGCAGTACAATGACTGACACCCACTCACTGGCCTGGACTTGGGCATCGAGGGTTGCAAGCCAGAATGTGATTGGCCCACCTACAATGTGATTGGCCCACCTACCCCAAGAATCCCTCACCAGCCTGCCTTCGCTTAGTGAGTGTTGGGTACTTTGTGTACATTATCTTACTTATTCTTTCTAACAACTCTCTGGCATAGGGACTATTATTAAACCGTGTCACAGAGGAGGAAACTGAGGTTTGCTCACTTGTACAAAGTCACACAGTGAGTTAGCATCAGGGCCTAGACCAGACCACAGCCCCATCTCCACCTGCTACCAGCCAGTACTGCAGTCTTCTCTCCACCCTCCCGAGGCTCCCAGAGGAGCTTTGCTCTTTGCTTGTGCACATGAACACTCACCCACTGAAAACCAGAAGTGCTAAGAATTTACCTCCTCAACTGAGACTGCCGGCACAGTCCGTCCAGCTTCTTTGCCTCTTGTCGGAACAGCTCTGGATTGTATTCTTCAGTGGTTCCCTGCAGAATAAAATGACTTTCTAGCCCAGTTGGTGTGGCTCAGTGGTTGAGTGTCGATCCATGAACCAAGAGGTCCCCAGTTCGATTCCCAGTGAGGGCACATGCCCCGGTTTCGGGCTCAATCCTTAATTGGTGGGGGAGGGAGGGGCTTGTAGGAAGCAGCTGATCAACGTCTCTCTCTCATTGATGTTTGTATCTCTTTATCCCTCTCTCTCTCTAAAGTCAATAAAAACATATTAAAAAAATAAGATGACTTTCTATACAATGTTTGTCTTGCTTGTTCTCATCCTCTCCCCAGTCCTACTCCCTCATGCTCCTAAAACATCACTAGCTCACAAAGGTTGGCTCCTGGGGGACCCAGTTAGGTATGGGCTGAGCTGGGGCAAGGTCTTACTCAGTGACTGAGTCCAAGAGAGAATTCAGAAGCTGGGTCTGGGTGACAGCCCGAGCAAGAGTCCAGATGACCTTAGTAATTGTGTCACATGGGAAAGGCTTCCTTTAAGAGCCCTTCAGAGTGCAAGGCACTGAATTAGACAATTTACATATCTACCTCATTTAATATTAAAACACCTCCCTATTAGACTTCCAGTTTTCATTGGAATGTTTGAGATTATACACATTCAATGAAATTCAACTTTCACTAATCTTAAAACCACAATCTAGGTGAATTAGCATTTCTAAATTTCACCTTGGTGGGACTCTGGTGACATGTTGCCTCAGTGATAAGACCCTTCATTTGACCTCATCATCACTGCCCACCCTTTCCTGCTAAATGTCCTGTTTCTCATATATTCATGTACATGGCATTCATGCGGGTGACATTCACTTTGCCCTCTGACATGATTGCAGATCCGGGTGTCTCAACCCCAGAGTTCAGGATTGATGCTCTACAGCTGCACCATGTAATACTGTAGCCACTAGTCACATGTGGCCACTAAGCATTTGTGTCATGGCTGGTCTGAATTGAGATGTATTTTAAGAATAAAATATACATGAAGGATTTTGAAGACTTAGTATGAAAAAAAGAATGTAAATTATCTCATTAATAATTTAAAAATATCGCATGTTGAAATGATAATATTTGAGGTATATTAAATAAAGGCTATTAAAATTAATTTTACTTCTTTTTACTTAAAAATATAAAATTACTGGAAAATTTAAAATGGCACATATGGCTCTCATTATGTTTCTATTGGGCCACGCTGCTCTACAAACTCAAACAGAGGAGGCTTGGGGAGTGAGCTTGTCCAGTGCCTCCCGGGAAGACAGGTTGAGCTGGCTGGGAAGGAATTATGTGGTTGCTTTGATGGCAGGGTTCTTTATGGAATCAGGAGGCAGCAAGGTAAGTCCTTCGTGACATCACTTTAAAAGGTGTGTGCTTCTGTAGACAGCTCTGTGCCCCTCTGGCCAAGAGGATTTATGGCTGAAGAGAGTGGCCATTGGTCCAAATGACACCACCGCACCTCTGGTTCCAGGCTGGGGTTTGTTAACATTTCAGAATTCACATCTGCTCTTTTTTTTTCATATTATCATAGTCTGTGAGGAGAAAGGAAAGCCCTAGCTGCTTTGGCTCAGTGGATAGAGCATCAGCCTGTGGATCAAAGGGTCCCATCAAGGACGTGTACCTCAGTTGTAGGCTCCTCCCTGGCCTGGGCCCTGGTCGGGGCTCGTGCAGGAGGCAACCAACCGATGTGTTTCTCTCACATCAATGTTTCTCTCTGTCTTTCCCTCTCTCTTCCACTCTCTCTAAAAATCAATGGAAAAATCCTTGGGTGAGGATTAAAAAAATAATAATAATAAAAGGGAGCAAAAGAAAGAAAGAGGGAAGGAAAGAGAGAAGAGGAGGGAGAAGAGAAGGGTAGGGGATTATTGTTGATAAGGATGGAGGAAGAAGGACAGAGGGAACCCGAGGGAGAAGATCTCATTAACTAAAATAAAAGGTTCAAAAGTAGGCTAGTCAAGTAATTTGAACTGATGAGTGATTTCCAGTTTTGGGACGTACATTCCATCACCAGGGCTCCACTTTGGGACCCTCCCATTTCAGCCATGTGGCTGGAAGATAGTGGCACCTGTTCTCATAATTTTAGAGGCTAGGAGTCCAAGGTCATGGTGCCAGCCAGCATGGTCTGTTTCTGTGAAGACTCCCATCCTGGCTGATGGATGCCCACTGCGTGCTCACATGGCAGAGAGAGAGTTTTGGTCTCTCTTCCTCTTTGGATAATGACACCAATCCTATTAGATTAGGATCCCACCCGCATGACTTTGTTTATCTGTTCCATGGGGCAGACAGGTCTGAAGGGGGGGCTTTAAAGTCCTGGAACCAAGGGTTGCAGTGGGACTCACATTCTCATGTCTCTCCTCCAGGGCCATGTTCTGCAATGACTTAAAGGAAAAGTATGAGAAGAGGATCATTATCAAAGGAGTCGATGCTGAGACCATGCACACTCTCCTGGACTACACCTACACCAGCAAGGCGCTGATCACCAAGCAGAACGTCCAGCGGGTCCTGGAAGCGGCTAACCTCTTCCAGGTGAGTGAACAAGCAGGCCCAGTGCTCTCTTCTGCATGTTTCCCCAGAGGCCTGCCTGGACTGGCTTCCAGACCTGTACCTGGGACACACACGCATAATTAGCTGGGCTTGTGCTTACTTGAAAGTCAGAAGATGCCTCTTTGGTGAGATGAGGCAGTGACTCCTTCATGCAATGAAACCAGGGGAGCTTGGTGTCTAATACCTACACTCGGTTCCTGACTCCAGGATCAATGCCTATAATTTACAGAAGCCCAATTGGAGCCAGGCCCTGAAGTCACCAGTTCATATACTTAACTTCTAAGCCTTAGCACAACTTGTTGGGTGGGGAAAGTAAGACAAATTGAGGATAAGTGACAAGGCTAGGATTTGAGCCCTGGGCTCTCTGAGTCCATAGGCCACACGCTTGCCACCACACCATGCAGCCTCTTGAGGAGGAGTGTGTAGATTCTGGGGAAAGCAGAACCCTGACTGGTCAGCACTTTGTGGTGGGTGTGAAAGAAGAGCACCTCTCATGAGGGGTATAAAAGAAGATGAGATAGAGAACCCTCAGAATTAAGTTTCATTATTGGCATTTGGCTATGTTTGTTTCAATACAATTTTATGATTGGATTAATATATTTAATTCACAGAATAATTAGACCTATAGATGATGTCAATTGTATCCACAATTATCACAGGGCTCCTATCCCCAGGTAACCAACTTTGCCTAGGTCTAAGATTACACTTTGAACTTGGTTCCATTGGATTACAACAGAGATCATCTCACTGAAGATGATTTTTTAAATCCTCACCCGAGGATATTTTACCATTGATTTTTAGAGAGAGTGGAAGAGAGAGGGAAAGACAGAGAGAAACATTGAAGTGAGAGAAACACATTGATTGGTGGCCTCCTGCACCCAGGGCCCGGGCAGAGGAGGAGCCTGTATCCGTGGTACATGCTCTTGACTGGAATCAAACCGGGACTCTTTGGCTGACGCTCTATCCACTGAGCCAAACTGGCTAGGGCTGAAGATGATTTTTATGATAAATCCAGGGAAAGGCCAGGTCAGGTCTTGTCCATGGTTTGGGACTTTAGGTGGTGACATCCTCTTGGATCATCACTAGGTCAGCAATTGAGGGGAACAGAAAACAAAGTCTGGGAAGGGAAGGAATGAGGAGTCCAGGGTCAAGACCATGGGCAGTGGGGTTATCTTGGGTGAGGCTGGGGCTGTGCAGGGCTTATGAAGACCAGCAAGGAAGAAAGAGGGGAAAGAGGGAGCAAAACCAGCCTTGAAACAGCACTGACGAATTCTGAGGAATGGCTTGCTGCAGTGCAGCCAATTTTATTGTCTTATTTAAAGATACAGAGAAAATTACTTCCAGCAAGGCTGGTCACACCTTACCTGGTGGTATCTCCAAGTTCTTTACTACCCACATCCTCAGTCCCTCACCTGTTCTCTATCCTTACCTGCTTACACACTCTGATTGTTAGGAAAACACCCCTCGTTCTGTGGAGGAGGAGTTCAGCAACTTGACGCTCAGTACCCTCACCTCATTGCCTCCACCCAACACCCCAACAATCTGACTTGGGGGAAATTCCTCCCATGTCATGGAGAGGCCTCTAGCTAGTACAGCTTTTATGCTTTTTCTGAACCTTCTATTAAAAGGTAATTTTAATAGAAGGTTCCCTCCAAATGGCCAATAACCTTGAGCAGAATCACCCCACTCACCATTATTCAATCCAGCCACAGCTGCCATTGTCATCTTCATGCTAATCTCCTTTCCTAGGGCCCAGAGAGAATTGCTGACATCCAAAGATGGACAGGTAACACTGACAATAATAATAGTAATAGCATTTGTGGCTTCAAGTATAGCATCTGACACCAAAATAGATGCTCAATGAATACAAATTTTTTGAGCACTTACTATATGCCTTGAGTGACAAAGTTGGGGCTAGTAACCAGGTCTCCTGTTTTCCCACTGGTTGAAAGGAGTTCCTGTATGATGATAGACTAAGGAGATAGATTTTTTCCCCTCAAATGCAGTTTTTAATAATTTTAAATTGCAATAACATTAAAACTCATTTCAGAAAAATCAGAAATGCATACAAACAAAAAGAATGTAAAATTACCTACAATCCCCTCCTATTTTGAAACAATATGGCAGCTTGCTTGCTTAGGTCTCCAACTTTCACCTTAGAGGGTGTATCAATTTTCTGTTATGTTGCTACCATAACAAATTATCACAAACTGGGTGCCTTAAAACAATAGAAATTTATTCTCTCACTGTTCTGGAGGCCAGACGTTTAAAATCAAGGGGTCAGCAGGGCTATACTCCTTTTGGAGACTCTAGGGGAGAATCTGTTCTTTGCCTCTTCCAGTTTCTTCTGGCTGCTGGCCTCCCTTCATTGTGGCCACACCACTCGAATCTCTGCATTCATAGTCCCATTGCCTTCTCCTCTTCTGCGTGTCTTCTCTTTTGTGTGTCTATATTTTATAAAGATACATGTGATTGCATTTTGACGCCACCAGATAAACTCCTCCTAACTTCCTCAACTTAATCATACTATTTTGCCATATAAGGCAATATTTATAGGTTTTGGAGACTATGACATGTACATATTTTTTGAGGCGGGGGAGGGGGCACCATTCAACCACTACAGAGGGTTTCTTCAAATATCCTTTTGATGATTTGATCCTTGGCTGTTCATCTTTAAGACTGAAGCCTTAACATGCTGGTTTGAAGCTCAGTGCACATGAAGCAGGATGGGAGGCTGGTAGACTAGAGAGTTTTACCAGGGTTATCAGGTGACCTGCCAGTTTTTTAAATTGGAGATCCCTAAATGTCACTATCTGTTGAACTGCTCTAGGATTGTTCATTTTCTCCAGATAAGGATTTTCATTCTCCTGCCTAGGGGATATACGTTAGCTACATATGCTCTTGACTGGGTGTGTAAGGGTGGCTGTATGTGCAAATTTTTACTTAACCTCCTTATGTTAAGTCAGATGTTTCTGGTATTCCTGAGTCTGGAACCTCTCTGATGTGGTTTCTCCTGAGGATAACTCTTCTTGTCCAGGGGGAGGGAGAGTGGGAGTTGTTAGACTGCAAGAGGTGAGGAGAAGGACCAGGAGGCTTAACTTCTTAAACTGACACCCTTTTATCAGCCCCCACCTACCCTTTCTGGCTCCTTGGGACTTTAATATCCCTGCTTTTTTGGGTTCTGAGGGACAAATTGGTTCCTCTATTGGTCCTCTCAGCAAAGTCACTCACCAGTCTTCATAGTCTGTGGTTTGGGGTTACTGTTTCTCCTGGTTTCATTGAAGATGGAGTTTATGCTTCTGTTTCTTGTTCTCCTTTCAGTTTTGGATAGTTTTTCAAGAGGCTATGAGAGCTCTTTAGGTAGTAAACACTGTAATCTTTCATAATAACATTGCAAATATTTTCCATTGGTCATTTAACTCATAATTTTAGTTATAGCTTTTTATGTAGAAAAGTTTAAAACTGGTGTTGAGTTGAATCTATTAATCATTTACTTGATGATTTGTGCCATTGGTGTGCATGTTTAAAAAGATCTTCCCCGTTGCTTGACTATATATTTAATCACTTATAATTTCATTTAGTTTTGTTTTATCTATAGCTTTGATATTTAAATCTTTTCTATATCTGGAAATTATTTTGGTATAAAGTTGTTTTTTCTTCTTTGTCTTCTTCCTCTTCTTTTCATTTTCTCCCAAGTGGTGAGCTTCAGTGGAGAGTTTAGATTTAATGAGCAAGGTGGGAGGGGAGGACAGAGACAGATGAGAGACAGAGCAAGATCTGTTTATTGTTGATTTCCCGTTTCTGGTAATCCTCCACCTCAGATCTTTCCAAATCTTGTTCACTTTCCAGGCAAAAAATGATAAATTTCTCTCTGCGGCCATTTTTTCATTTTCTTATAAGTGTTAATTTTTATGAAAATATAAGAAGAATGCTGTGCGCTTCTGGATATCTAGTTAACCCACTTTCTGATTTCTCTTGCTTCTAGACTTTGCTTTGAAGTCTCAGCCATAGAAAACTGGGAATATTTTCATACTTGACGGTACCATAAGGGATAGAAGTTCCTAGGTTGTTGAAATCACTTTGTGGTTTTAAAAATTTATTTATTTTTGGATGGATAAAACATATCTCCGTTCCAAATTCAGAGACACAAAAGGGGAGACAGTGAAACATTTCTTCACTGTTTGCAGTCTTACTGTCCTTTTTATTCCACACACATACCAGTATACATGTGCAGATCACTCTTACTCATTGCCTCCATTTTTGAAATACAAATGTTAGCAGACTATATACTTGGTTTTGCATCTTGGTGGTTTTTTTTGGCTTCACAGTATATTTTGGAGACTGTTACAGGTCAGTATGTGTAGAGCTGCCTGTTCTTGCAATGGCTATATAATGTTGCTGGGGTCTCTTTAGACATGAAATATGCTGTTATCTGTAATAGTTTCTTATAAGACAGAGTGGCAGAGTGGAAAGAACATGGGTTTCGGTGATAAGAACCTGGGTTTAAATTCCTATTTAGTCACTTATTTGCTGTGTGGCTGTGGACAAGTTACTTAGATTTTTTAAGCCTCATTTTCTCATTTGTAAAGTTAGGATGATAAGAATAGCTACCTTATCAGGGAGAGATATTATTTGGATTAAATGAGGTGATATTTGTAAAGTACCTGATATGTAATAGATATTAAATAGAGGTTTCTTCCCATCATTTGTGAGTTAATTTTTACCTTACTTTGGACAGCTTTTTTGCCTGGGATAAAATAAGCTGACACTGAACTATGGAGACATTTCTCTAAGCCACCCCTAGATCTTTGTTTTTTTCCTGAATTAGGATGATAAGAAACCATTATTTAAAGTTTTATTTTATCACATTCACATGATACATGAATAGTACAATGAACTGGACTGTGCTGTAGTTTCAGTAACCCAGAATTACAGGTAGAGAAAAGTGTGTTAGAGTTGGCATTTTATCTTGTCATTTTAGA